TTAAAGGTAACAAAAGTGGTACTTACTCTCTCACCAAATGACAGTGGTATTGATCTTCTCATCTAAGGCTCTGCAAGAAATCAAACAAGTGTATTTCCCAAAATTTCACACCACTCACCATGCATAAAAGCCAGTATATTTCAAATAATTCAAATAAATAAACGTTTATAAAACTTTTTTCTGAACCACACCATTAAAAAATTAATTCTCTGACAATTTCAACCACTTATATGTCAGACAAATCATCAATGTGTTTCTATGAACATCTTACACTGACTTACGATGTAAAATATCTGTTCACAATCATAACAAGTATAAGGTAGCCCAAATAATGTTTACACTGAACTGTCAAAATGAAAAAAAGAAACCTTGTTTCTTCTTAATACTACACTATGTTTTTTAAAAGTTTGTAGGATGGTGTGGTCCAAAATCTGTTGAAATTTTACATTTAAATAAAAAATTACATTACATTAAATTACATTATATTCTATAACTTTTTGTTTGTAAGTAATCAGGAAGGAGTAGGACTTGTTACTTAAACTGTTTTTTAGAACTACATAGAGGAAAAAAAAGTGATGTAAACAATTCAAAGATAAAACGAAGATTTCATATGCCACTTGAAACCATGCATCAAATCCTTCTTCACCTTTCAAATTTTGAGGAATTTACTACACGTTTTAATATGAAAATAAAAGAGAGATAAAGATCCCAGTGCACAACATCTACAACAAGACATATGCGGGGTTGGCCATGCTGGGAAACATGGCTACATAGCAAAACGCTGGCTGCGACATATATCAAATGATTAGTAAATGTGCAGTATTTAAAGTGGCCATCGCTGAGCTCAAAGGCTTTTTATTGTAGTATGTCACTGAGTCCATTTAATCTATATGATCCCTGTCCAACTGTGGGGATAATGAAGTCAAACAATCAGGTCTGAGATCATGATAATCTGGATCAAGTATCTTTGTGTTTTATTTTCTGTCAAGCTCTCTGCAATGAGAGAGCGATGCTGACAAATAAATAACCAGACGAATACCTGCCATAACAAGGACGAGTCAGTGATGATACTGTTGTTCTCATGATGTTCATGGTCAGGACATGAACTGCAGATCAAACATCATCCCTGAAGTTTCACAGATGGTGTAATGTTTCTGTGAATGTATCACATGAACATAAGACGGTCCTCATCCAACCTATTATACAGTACCTTTTATAACATGTGCTCTCAACCATTCAATGAAAAAAAAAATCAGACCAGGACAAAGACAGACATGATTAGATGAATAAATACATAAATAACACTAATTAATAAATAACAGAAAATAAGAAGTATCTTCTTTACAAAATGCAAAAGGAGAGAAAGTAGATGTCACATTTTAGAAAAGGGAAAGAAATGTTTGAAAACCTTACATTTTCTGAGAATAAGAAACATTTTTGGAGTTGTTTCTGTTGTTCTGATCATTCAAGAACAGAGAAGTGAGTGTTGCATAATTCTTTGTGTAATCTAACGGTTAAAAGGTTAAACGAATAGATGGCGGGTGAGGGTGTGGGAGGATTTTTCCAGGAACAATACAGCGTAGGGAGAGGGCACAGTCCGTGTAGGTGCCCTTAAAAGCCCTTCAGGAGTAGATGGTGATGACCTCACGCCCACCTCCACGCACTAGCAGGACCCGATTGAGACCCTCAGTGAGCACCTCAAGGAACTCCATGTCTGAGAGACAATTACAGTGAAGGAATGGGTTTTTCTTACAATGTGTGTAAAACCAAGCAATATGTTATATAACATGCTTTAGCGTAGTTCAGGGGAGACTGCAGGCCTCCCCTCAGACAAAGCTTTGGAAACGGCGCCCCACCCCCCACCACATCTTTAGTTTACTTGGTAAGCTCGATTCCTGGATGCCTATGGAATCATGATTATATTATTTGATCCCATAGACACTCAACGTTTGAGCCAAAATAGCCTAATATTGCTGTTTGACATAACTTCTTAATACACCAAATAGTTTTAAAAAAGGTCTGTCCTAAGGCATTTATTAGTTTCTGACTCTGATGATTCTATGTGATCTCCTTTTGATAACTAATGCAATAAGCAATGTAATGGTTGCTGCTGTTTACATTCACCCCAGATGCAAATTCAAAAAATGCACTGTGGAATGTTTGGGGTGTATATGTGTAGCCTATGTAAATAACTGTATATACTGTTTTATTTTATTTTATGTGTTACCATATTTTAATATAGGCCTACACTTAATATATTGAGTGTGTAGCATGAAGGAACTACAAAATTTGTTTCGTTATGCAGCCTTGTGCTGTATAATAACTAATTAACTACCTTGTACCTTGTACCTTGTAATATTGTTTCACTTCCATTTACTGAGCCTCCCATGAAACTGTTTGGAGCCCCCCTAGGGAGGTCCGCCTCACACTTTGAAAGCCCCTGCTGTAACGCAATGAATCCCAACACTGTCAGATGAACCCTTATTTGACACTTGTCATGTTCCAAATGTGTTCAATTGAAGTGATTTCAAGCTGCATATGATTTAACTTTATTAATCGCATTGTGTGTTGTGTGTTGTTAAATGTATTTTCACTGTTTAGCTGTTTGGTCAGTATGGTGAAGTTTGCATTTGTTTTACAAGCTGGACGCTTCAACCATTTATCCTTAAATTTAGCTAACAATTTCAACCACTAATCCTTTATTATAGCAATTTCAACCACTAATCCATTATTTTTAGCAATTTTAACTATTTATCCATTACTTTTATCTAATTATTTTGACCATTTACCCATTACTTTATGTCTTTTTACTTTACTACATTAATGTTTTCTGTGAAGATTCTCAGTCATCCATATCATAGTTATCCAAGGAAGGTTCAAATCAAGGGTAACTGGACTTGGTTGAAGACACTTGAAGACGCTTTGCCTCTCATCTGAGGGAGAAAGGGATACAAGGCGAAACATCTTCAAGTATCTTGAACCAAGTCCAGTTGCCCTTGATTTGAACCTTCCTTGGATACATTACGTTACAGCTATTCTTGTTACTTTGCAAATTAAAATGTCACACTAAAAAAAACAAAAAACATCAGCTCTCAGCCTGTTTGGTTGTGACCCCCTCCAAAAAAAGCTGTGTGTGGGATCCCTTGTCAGATTGTATATGAGAGGTTGATTTCAGTTTTAAGCAGGCCCAAAGAGGAAAAAATCCAATATTTCACAAAACAGCAAATATTAGAGAGGAAAGTCCAAAAATTTTACTTAATAATCTTGTGACCCTCAAACTTATCTTGCGACTTGCTTTTTCTGCAGAACGAGTAATTTTAATTTTGATACTATGGAATTAAAAATTAAAAGCAAGAGCTGGGCTGGATGGGGAAAAAACAAACTCTTCTTCTTCAATACTTAATTCTTCAGTAAAATATAATGCAGAAAGTGTCCAAAAAAGAGTCCAAAATTCACCGGAGACAAGGAAGATATTTTCGTAATAATTCCTCTGTACTGTCACTAAAGCAAAATTTGAATGCGGCACTTGCACATGAAGTACATTTACATTGTTGTAATAGCACTTTTACTTTAGTAAAGGATCTAAATACTTATTCCATCACCATGTATAGAAATCTAATATACAAAACAGGAATCAACATGGGCTACTTTGTCAAGGTAGTGAGTGAGGTAGTTAATTCTGCCAAAATCTCACTAGTTAGCAGCAGCCTTCTTTGTCTTTAGCTGGCTCACACAAAATCAACTGCTGAATTCCTTACTGAACTTCTTATTGTTGCAGTTTTTTGCTTGTATCACTTGAACCTTTTATTGTATTCTGTATTGCATCTATAGTACCAGCACATTTGATATCTTCAGTTGACTTATAATGTTTTCATTGTGTCTTTTTTATGATGCCTTGCTGCAAAAAGAATTTCCTCTTGTGGGACAAAGAGGATCTAAACTGAACTGAGCAAAGTACACCAATATATATAGCACACAGTATCTTGTATTCTGTGTATGATGTGTATGATGTAGGATACAGTTTTCATTGCCCACACGGTTCTTGGGTGGTCCAGGCATGTTGAGCAGGACAAGTTTAGCCTCCTTGGACTTCTTTGTGATGACCTCATTGAGCCTCATCGCTGTATGCATGCGCCTCACATCGATCTGGCTCCTGATGCAAGAAAGATAAGGCCACGTTAGGTCTGGTTTACAAATCAGTCTTTTAGCCGCTCAGCTTGCACAGTATGTCTCGCTACAAAATGTTTATACTTACAAGTTCTCCCATTCCCTGTAGCAGCATGTTAGGAAGGAAATAAGTGAGGTCAAGTACATACAAGACATGGGTTCAAACAGGAAGCTCCATTTGTTAGTGGTTTAAGTTCAAAGTTTTGTTTGTCTCATGTGTATCTGTTTAAACCCTGGAACATGGGTCGATATACACAAATATTTACCACCGACCCATGTCTCTGGGTGCATGTTATGTCATGTCTATTTCCAAAGCAGCATGCCAAGCTGAGTGAAAAGGACTCACGGCTTCATGTTGAAGAGGTCTTTGCCTGCCTCCGGGTTCGCCGTTAAAAGGGTCTGCCCCTTGTCTGCACCCTTGTTGTCCGTCCAGGCGGCAGCGCCCCCTGTGGGCCCCGCGGGAGACGTAGGGCTTGTGGGGCTGGTTGGTGTTGAGGCTTTCTTACTGTAGATCCCCTGTACTTGTTTTGGGTTGGAGGCAGCCACAGCCTGAGAGGGGGACACCGTGATGGGACAGTGTGTCAGGGTGAAAAACAGAAAAGAGACACCTGTCAGCATATGTGAAGCTCTGGAAGCCAGTGGCCAGTGGGAAATCACGAAGCAGCTGGAAGCAGCAACTGGAAAGAGTACAACGTTGCTGTGATAGCTGCTGGAGCGCAGAGAGAGAACAGCTGTAGAGGGGATGTGGATGTGTGCCATAGCAGCATTACCTCGTCTTCTGGTTTTTCTGCCAAGCTAGCTCCCTCCTCAGCGCTGTGCTGGGAGCGCAATGCAGACGGGTTTTTACGCCGAATGGACCCACGGGATGAATCCGTAATGCTCTGGATCTATTGTAATAAAAAAAAGTGAGGTAATTTCTTTCTGGAATTTCTTCTTTCTTCCCTCAGATCAGTCAAAACAAGTCCAGACACCGACATAATCTCAAAATGACTGTCATATTCTTCAGGCGCCTATGTTGACCAAAATTTTAGGTTGCTCCATTCGGTAAAAGTGGTTCAAAATGAGCCTCCGTTAGGTATTAAAGTAACTACAGTTATGTGTAACATTTTGGGTTTACCTCTCTCTCCATCTCATTCTTGGTCAGATGCATCTGTTTGAGGATCTGTGATCGTTGTTCCATTACAAGTGTCTTCTCATAGGTGTAGGCTGATATGTCACTGTCATGCTTTAAAGCGAAAAGACATTTTTGTCACAGTTGTCAAGTTCTGGAACATTATTACAATATTATGAAAGACTGAAGTTTGGTTCTATGGATTAAAAACTGGCTTTATCTGAGAATACAAAACTACTTTTCTAAGTTTCCAAAACAAAAATCCTATGTGTATTATGTGTCAGACAAGTCTCTCACCATCTCCACCACTTCCACCTCAGCATCGATGCGCAGGTGATAGAGGAAGGTGATGAGGTCTTTCTTCATCTGAATGCTATTGTCATCCATCTGAGCCACAGTGAAAATGCGCATCTTGCACTTCCTCCAAACCTGTGGGGAAAGAACGGGAACATTCAAAGATGATGAACAAAATGTTGTCTGTGTTCTTTTTTACTCTCTACACTGTGTCCTTCCTCAGACAACATCACATTACATAGTATTTAATTCATATATAATATTTAAATATTTAATATTTAATAGTGTCTTGTTTTCCACCTTGTGCTGGCGCAGCAGGAAGGGCAGAAGCATCAACATGCCTCCGTCATGGACAATCCACCACACATCTATGTGGCCTTCAGTGAAGCGCTCTCCATTGGACGGGTAGCTGGAGATATTCTTAGGAACCAACAAGGCCATACTGGCTACAGTCGTCTCTCTAACCACCTCTGCACAGGGACGCAAGAATGAAACAAACATTTCTGGTAAGGAACCTTAAAAATTGGTTATTTAAGAATCAAGACCAAGATATGTACTTAATGGGACATTTTACATTTTTACTATGTAGCGGTGACACCGTGCTGAAATTTCATGCTACTTATAAAACAACATTTGGGCCAATACTGACATATCTGTGGTAATATATCGGGCAATTTATTAGACTTCAATTAAGTTGATTAGTCATTAGCCAGTTTATTGCCTACTTGCTGTCTTAAAGGCCTTCACAAGCAGCCTTACAGTATCGTAAACCCTGAACAGAGGGCAAAGAAAATGTTGCGCAAAAATGTTAACATGGATGAAATCACATAAACCTAACATTCAGTAAATAACAATGACTTACCTATGAAGTTCCTAAATTGCTGGTGATACTCAGGCTGTTTCCAGTTTCGGGGCCAGCTGACCATCACAGTGTTGTGCTTCAGACCTCCCAGCCCTCCGACCTGGATCAGGTGGGAGGTCCCATCCCTCAGATTGGAGGAGATGACCACCTGAGAGAAGCCCTTCACTTTCTCTGCCTCCATCAACTTACGCAAAGACTATAAATACACAAAGAGCGGAATACAGCTGTTAGAGTGTGTGAAAAACTGTAGACACAGAAGGTTTTGTGATATAATAATCTGCTGCATTTGTATCACAAGTCAAAGTGTATAGAGATTAGAGGACGGACCTGATCTGCCCTCTGGGCCTCAGTGTAGTTGTCGAGGAAGGTTCCGTGAACTGAGGTGCCAACGATGGTCAGACCTTTCCCTGCTTTCAGCTGATTGGTCAGAGAGAGCAGACGAGGCTGCTCTACGTTCTGCTCAGCATCCACACTCACCAGAACCAGGATCTGAGGCCTGACGAAAAGCACCAAAGGATTGTGTTTTAGATTCAACAGGTGATGTAAGCTTAACCTGTTTAAATAGTTTAAAAGTTGTAGATGTGTACTGACCTCCAGTTCTTGGTGTGTGGCGGTCCTTCCTCCAGCCTCATGAGAGCGAAGCGTGCAGCGCTGAGAGAGATGCCACGTATCCCATCGCCCCACTCCTTCTCAGCTCTGTGACGTACCACATTATTGGATTGGCACATTGCGTAGGTATCATGATTTAAGTACATGCTCACTAGCATTTATGATAAATTAAAGCAAGCCCAATCCCTGCCATTCAGCTAAAACAATAACCACTGGCAGAATAATTGGATGTGGGTTGCTGCAACACAATCTTATTCTTGTTTTCGGTCCATGTCCTACGCAGTCATGATGAATACTTACCCACAAAACTCAATGTATTTGTAGATACAGGTGGCGATGCCCATGGCGACTATGGCGTAATACCAGGAACAGATGAACATGAGCGACAGGCACAGGCTCATACCCAAGAAAGACAGAGCCCTGCAGGGGACAGGAAGTCACACGCTTGGTCTAATTGGGAATTTCCAGGAACACAGCTTATATATCTATAACCTGTGAAAGTTTAGTCTGCTGCTGCTTAACTCATACTGAAAAACAGCTTCTAATTGTGAATCAGGTGCACACAGCACCAGTTAATATTGCCCACGAATTTGATCTCACAGGTGCCTGCTGTTCTCAAACAAACCAATGTTTCTCCTTAACTAATTACAAAAGTGATGTGCCATTAGTTCCGAGCATGGTTTGATAGCATATGTCGTGAAAATAATAACCTTTTATTGCACAGCAGATTGCACATTCAGTGACACTGATATGTACAATGACACAGAAACTCACCAGTGGTAGAACTTAAAGCGTGGCCTCCAGTTCGGCGTCCTGAGCAAAGTCTGCAGCGCACAGGCAAGATTGACAAACATGTAGCACATCAGGAAGAACCTAAAGAGAGAAGTGAGAGAGGAAGAGAAATATACAGAAAAGAAAAAAGACAGACAAGTGACACATAAAGAAGAATCCCAACTGCTGTGGGCCTGCACAGCAATGACCATACACTGTGTGTGAAGTTACAGAGTACGCACATGGAGAGGATGGGTGCGACTGCATCCAGGGAGGCAATGATGATGCCAATCTCACAGATGCTGGCTGTGAGCAGAAGGGCCCAGGTGGGCTCCCCATTGGCTTTGCCGTGCCCAAACACCTGCAGCAACATCAAAGGATTAAATTAAATCACATTTTATGGCACCTTCTTGGGCAGCAAGGGCTATACTAATAATGTATGAGATTTTAATAATGTGATAATCATATGTGAAAGCAACAGAAAAAACAAATGTAAGGCTTTATCTGAAACACATTTCTGCTTTTGTGACAAAGACGCATACTAAAGATGTGTACTCACTCTAAGAAATGGGATGATGCCATCTCGAGCAATGGCCTGTAGGAGACGTGGAGCTCCAGTCAGACTCTGAAGCCCAGCTCCACAAGTGGAAAAGAAGGAGCCAAACACGATGACCCATGGAGACGGCCATGCCAGAGTCCCAATCACCAGGTTACCATTGACCCCTTCACCAAACCTGTGGAGAGAGGCGAAGACAAAATACTCCAAAGCTGGAATAACAAACACTGACTTTTACACCACTCATTTCATCAGATAATCTGGATCTAATATGATTATATAACAATAACATCTATTTAATGTTCTTAAACTTTTATATGACCAGACCATTTGCTAAGCCTCGTCCCTTTTAGGTTACTGCTACTTTATAAAACAGGGGACAGGTTAACCTTTTTTAAAAACTTTTTAGCTTAGAAATTTTCAAAAACAATGGGTCCTTCATTTCAGACAGAGGTACACAAAAAGCAGGCTTCTCATTTCTAGCCCGCAACTGTTGACTGAAATGGCAATTGTCAGTTGTAGCTTGAAAGCTAGCTAATTAACTAACATTAGCTCCACACTCCTACACTTCCTCTGGCTGACCTTGTTCATTGTTATAATGTTTTCAGCTCATTTTTAAAACAAGAACCCTGTAAAGAGTTCCTACACGTGCACATTATGGCCAAATACATGATGTCGTGCTAAAAGACTGAGGCTAAAGCCGCAAGTCCCAGGCAAAAAGTCAGCAGTCACCAGCTGATGATCCATGTGGATGACAAATAAACACACTTATATTGCAGTGTAGAGCAAGATAATCCTAGTATTATTAGCATTACAAGGAAAAAATATTAGACTGTTATTCATTTTGACTGCTTCGCCTTGACAAGAAAGAAGTTACATAAATGTGTTATTGTTGAACATATATGGATTAATAGAGGCTAAAAGAAAGAAACCAGAATCCAAACTATCTGAGCAACTTCATCCCCATAAACACAGCCTCAACATGCAGAGAAAGCAAAAACATTTGACAAGCCTGCAATGCTTAGTTACTGTTAAGCTATTACTGGACAATTGATGTTTGGAGGAGTGGTTTAGCAAACTGTTGATTCTTTTGTTTGACATCATTTGATTATAGTGACTTGAAATGTATAAAAAGCTACATGATTTGACTTACTTGTCCCTCAGAACTACTCCTTCTATGCAGGCGCCAAACAGCACCACACAGGACATGTCTGGGGAAACGCTGTTAGGAAAGGTATTGTTGGAAATTTCTGATACAAATATTATGAGAGCATACAAAAGGTTATATAAAAGTCATCAATCAGCACTTCCAGATCCACACAGTTTCTGTTCAAAGGACCTAGGATACACACAGTGGATGTGGTGCTGATGGCTGCAATCGTGCCGATGGGGATCGACTTCTGAGCGTCACGCAGGTCTCCAGAGCGGTTGGAGCCTGCCATGATACCTGTGAGTGGATCAAGATGAAATAATGAGGAGCTTTGTGCTTTTACACCTGCATGGGAAAAAAAAGTTGACATGGCGAACTTCTTAGCAAATGGTTGCTTATTTACACATCCAGTAAATTAAACTGCAGTAAAGGTGAGATAAAAGGCCTTGAAATGCTCAATAGTGGTGAGGGGAACTGCGGAGTCTGTGATTATGCTTTGTAGGTTCATCACAACCACTATCACATTACAAGTAGTCATTTGATATATTATTAATATGAAAATATAGATCAGAGCACCTAATAATAATTTTGATAAGGACAGCCTCCCAGCTGGGTGAAGACTTCCTCTTATCCCTTCTGACGTCTCTTCAATAGGCCTTTATGGTTCTAACCTGTGACAGATGGGAAGTATATCCCGACCAGCAGGGTGAAGAAGCTGGTGATGTCAGCTAGGACGTAGCGGTTGGAGCTGGTTGTGGGATTGTCTGGATCTGCGTCTGATGCTATCCCACGCTTCTCCAGCAACATCCCTTTTTCCAGGTAGTTACCAAACAGGTTCTCTAAAAGACAGAAGAGCATTTAAATAAGCATGTGAGGTGGATGGGATGCCAAATGAGTAAATGGATTGACCCTCAGAGGGTTTTGTCATTTACATTGATAAGGCATCTCCTACCTGCCAGGATGCCGCTAGTGACCCCCGGGATGCCCTGTATCTCTGTGACATTGTTGTTGGTAAAGTATTCGTCACAAGTGGCATTAAGGGAGTCAGAATCACAGAAGGACCTCCACAGTTTGGTGGTGATGGTTTCATTGTCTATTTCGATGATTTTTGCACAGATGTCGTATGATTTAGAAAGAAGAGTTCGATTTCCCAGGAGGCAGACGCTGTAAAGAAAGTCAACAAAGGAATCATTGTCAAAAAATTGGATCATCACCGGGAGACTTTGACCAGTGGATGAACCAGTCACTTACGGGAAGACAGGGGGGTCGATGGCGGTCTTGATGACTCCGGCATAAACAGCCATGATAGAGAGGATGACACAGGCCAGGAAGACCAGCGCCAGCTTGTTCACATATTTGACCCCTACAAACACCACCAGTGCCATTAAGCTCAGTACAATGGTGCCGTACACCCGCATGTTGTTGAGGAGAGCTAACTCTGCCTCAGGCCCCTCCAAGCCCTCGATCTTGAAGATGGCTGCCTGAGGAACAATGTAAATCTACAAGAATGGAAAGATGGAGGGAAAAAGGTGGGGAGAAAGGAAGTAGAGGGAGGAGAGTACGGCAAGGTGTGGTGGAGTATGGTGGTGATGGGTGGAAGTACAAGGAATAAATATAGTACACTGATGTTAGAATGCTACTTAAATTTGAGCTTAAATTTTTATACATTTGGTTTCCACAGTAATGAAGAGCTGCCACAGCGAAACAAAAATTATGTTCACAAACCCTTGTTATAATGTCATATAATAATTTAAAGAGTCTGTTAAAACTAGAGCTGAAATAATTAATTAATCTACAGAAAAGTACTTAGCAACGACTTTGATAATTGATTGTTTCAGTAATTTTTCAAGCAAAAATGTCACATCTTCCTGCCTACAGCTTCTCAAATGTGACGATTTGATGCTTTTGTTTGTCATATGTGATATTAAACTCAATATTTTAGGGTTTTGGACAGTTTGTTGGATAAAACACGTTTTAATTATGTTAACTTGGATTTTGGGAAATTGTGATGGGCATTTTTCACTAGAGACTAAAAAGGAAGACTTGGTATGCTGTGTTGTAATAATGACATAATCTAAATTCCCGTGCAATGTACTCTTATTTAAATAGTTATTAGCTACCCTTTCCTGCTATGACATGTCAAAATGTCCGAGGTGAAAAAGGACTATATAGTAAATATATATGGTTGTAAGGAAAATATGCAGTAACATGTCAGTTATTCAATAATTAATGCTACTTACCAGCAGAATTTCAATACAGCCAAGAATGTACATGGCACCTGCAAAAGTGGTGCCTAAGTAGAAGCAGATCCCAACAGCTCCACCAAACTCAGGCCCCAGGGAGCGAGAGATCATGTAATATGAACCTCCAGCTGTGGGTCACACACACGAGAGAGTCAGTGCACTGTTCTGTTACACACAAACGCACTATAACATTTAAAGCCTTAGGTATAAACTCACCTGGTACAACTCCATTTGTTGCAATGGCACTCATGGAGATGGCTGTGAGCATTGTCTGAAAAAAAATGAAGCAGCACAGGGTCACAGGAGTCTGAGAGGCAGCAGGTGGGCACGTCAAATTAAATATGGCTGACAGCGAGGCCTTAATGAACCGAGGGGGTGAGCGGAGAAAAACATCCAGCAGCACAAGAGTCTGACTCATCCGGTCATGTTAAATTGTTCATTGCAGGGATGACTACATGGCTGGTTGGCACATACTGTCCCTTCAGTGATAATCTCATTGCCAGCCAGAGGCAGAAGGAAGAGATCACATTTACTGAATAAGTAATCAGGTTGTCCTAACTACTCTTTTAAAGTACATGAGTATTTACATTTTGTGAGATACAGTTTCATTGATAGAAACAATTGTGGTAAAATAAAGGTGTAATGAAAATAAAATGTTTCACCTGACAGTGAAACTTAACTCTGTTCTTGAGTACTTACTGCTGATACATATTCAATGTCATTTTAATTTAGTTTAATTTGAGTTTAGGACTTTCTTTAATTGGGGCATTTTATATTGTGGTGCTGCTATTTATTCATGTATTCATGCATAAGCATTATAGACACGGCGGAAGGCACTAAAACATTGGCTGGGATCCAGGTCCCCAAATGCAGCTGTTGTGAGTGAGCTTCTGAACTAATTACAAAGCCTTTAGTTTACCTCTGGTCAAAATATTATTTCAGCAGGACTGCCTAAACATGATATGGTGAGAGTAGTATTTTTACCAGTATTTAGTGAGTTGAGGAGATATAACAACTATCTAATAATATGTTACATGCTACTTGACACATTTTTTATTCAATATTCAATTCTGGGGAGGTTGGGGGGGATTTACTATATCATCTTTAGCATCTGTGCAATGCAAATTATAATTGTACAGTAGCCCACAGCTTTTAGTTACGTACTGTGGAGCAACACATGAAGACGATTATGAAGGAGCCGAGGACGCCTCCTATCCCGACCATCCAGGTCATCCGCAGGAAGAGGATCACCCCAAATATGTTCTGGATACACGGCAGGTACACTCCCATCAGGGTGCCCAGCTGTGGAGCCTGAGAAACGCATGAAAAGTGATAAGTCAAAGATTGCGTGTGTGTATAAGTTTTCAGTCCAGCTCATCTTATTTTGAATGGATTGAAATGGGGGTTATAATCAGTCAGTAGTGCACTTTGTTGTTCAGTCTCCTTAAATCTATTCTGCATTTTAAAGTCATGAGACGCTTTCATCAGAAAGAAAAGGGGTTTATTATTTTCAAACACAAAGAGATGGTAATCCTGTGGAGAAGAGGAAGACAAGCTCTTTGTTTTGAAAGGGCTCTATTTCCTCTAAGTACTCTTTCTGAAGAGAAGTGGGAAGATACATGTTTATTCTCTCTTTCCCTCATTGTTTCTGTCAGCAAATCAGCTTGAACCTCAAAATAGTTGAGATTTATTATGTTTTTTGTTATACACACATTTCACACATCTATCCATAAATACTGCTTTATAAAAATATAAAAGCTAAAACTACTTTACACTATTTGGTTGCTAGAGTAGTTGCAAGAGTGACAGCTCTCAAAATCTCAAATCTGCAATCTGCCAATGTGTAGAGAAAAACAATAATCCCACAAAGTTCACCCACCAGGCTAAATGTTACTGTATCTGGTCGCAGACAACTTAAAATTTAATTTAAAATACACTTTTAACACTAAAAGTGACTGCAAAAAATACAAAACAATTTATCAGGTCATGTGTTTGGTTGTCCGTCTCCCGGAGTCCTCATTTACATTTTGCGGAACACTCTGTGAGGTGATGTGAGGAGAGATGAATAGACAGATCAGACAGAAAGTCACTCACAGGCTTTCACCTGTGTTCTGTCCACAGGGGAAAGCCTGGTGAGAGTGATGCTCTTGACTGCCCACACTGCAGGATCCTTCAGGCCGACTCAGTCTGAGTGGCATCTTCACATTGCACCAACCCCTTGTCAGCATTTAGTGATGAGACTTCATTTCTATCAAGGTCCTCTCTGTGCACAAATGTACACAAATGTGTTGCTTTGCATGGGTAACTCCCTATTTAGGATTTATGGCAGTATATCAACATTTAATAAATGGTTTATAACACACTACAATTTACTTGTATGCACCCATAAGGACATGTGTGTGAGTAAGTACAGCTTTTGTCAACAATAACAACTTCTCCTATGAAGACATACTTTATAATATTACAACTGTGTTTTGCAATAGTGTCATTCATCATCTACAGCCTCAACTTATGGGAGTTATGGGAGTATGGGAGTTACAGTTAACAAACAATCACTGTATATCCGCGTACAACTACTGACTATCCAGTTCAAAAAAATCTTTTGTATTGAATAGTTTCGGCCTGCTGCATCATATGTCCAGTGATGGAAACTTGTAAAGGACAACTAATTCAAAATGCAAGTAGTTTTCAAAGAGCAGAAAACTCACTGAGCTCACTGCCTGCAGGTGTATGATCTCAGGTGCTCTGCTTGTTGGAACACAGCAGCTATGTTGTGAAATGTTCAGGTGTGGTACATGCTGCTGTCTTTTAAAGGCATAACTTATGCATCCACTCTTTCTTTTGTATCCCCTGCCTTACAAACCTCTTCAGGGTCAAAAGCCTGTTGCGTGTATACCTGACAATAAAGATATTCTTCATTGCACACATGTTGCTGGAGTTTGAACTTTTAGACTTTTCCCCCTCTTTGTGCACCTTGGAAGAAGTTAAAGAAATCCCTACTCTGCTTCTACAGATCATTAAACGAGCCGAGCAGGGCAGCACAACCAAAAGTTCACAATAGTAGTTAATAATAGAGAAAGTAGAGTAAAACCCAGAGAGGATTCAGCTTATTTTGTGACTAACCCTGTCTTACGCTCCACTGAACAAATGCAGGATAACCGACCCGACATAAACCCAGATTAGGGCCAATAAATGATAAGACCGCCAGAGGAAACAAAAGGGAAGAGCAGGCAAGTGTCAATAACCTGATTTGTGTTGAAAGGCATTGAAGTTCAAATCAACAACTATTGCTTAGTATTTGCTACATGTAGCTACAATGTAGCCCATCAATTGCATGAGATCTCCAAAATAAATGTCCTGTGAAACTGAAAATCAGGGTTTGCTTAGTTTAAAAGGCATTTGAGTGGCTGAGTTGGCTAAATTGTGTATCATACTACATCCTTGTATCACTTCACTGCTTTCACTGTTAGAAGTTGCTGCTCTCCATTACAGCCCTCTATGAAATAACCACCCCAAGCACTCACCTGACCTGTCGTCACTGCTGTGCTGTGGTGGTGTTTGGTGTGTGTTAAAGGTTGGTTTGTTTTGGATCAAATTAAAAGTAGCATTCCCATTGCTAATAATAATGTTCTTGGAGTGCAATGTAAAGCACAGCAGAAATGGAGGGAAAATGAATTCAGATTGAGGATGTGGTGTGACCCTTCACTGTGTACAAAACGAATACATAAAATCATGCATCCTTTAGTAAACAACATTTTTGTTTTGAGATATTGTCAGTAGTCTCAATGTTGCATGCGGCTGTTGGTGCACACTTTGTATCATTTCCTGTTAACCCTAAATGTTTTTAACATGTGTAATTTTAAACAGCCAAAATGACAACAACAATTTGGGGTATATCATTTATACTGCTTACTATTAGTAGATTTAATTTGGCTGATTGATCTCCTGTTTCTTCACAACATGGCACACATAAATATTAAAGAGTACATGTAACCTTTGTTCTCTCATGTTAGTTTGATGTTTTCTTCAGATAAAGCTACTCTTCTGCTGCAGGGTGGGAATGAACAGATCACAAAGGGTACACTACCTTGACAGGTTTTTTAGACGGACGCGCCCCCTCCTCGTTATTCTCAGCCTCTTCGTGCTCTTTGCTGCCCGTCGGCAGGTTGGAGTAGTTGGCCAGGGTGCTGAGCAGAGAGGAGACCATTGGACTGGTATCCATCTCCTCCTGAAAAACACACACACACACACACACACACACACACACACACACTCATATTAGACCTGGAGATCTACTGGTGATATGAAGCAGTCTGCATCAACTCAGTAAAGACTGGTTTTACATCCATATTCCCAGCAAGTTTTATAATGGGTTTTGAAAACTGTCCTTACCTCAAATAGAGCCATATTCTTGCCATCATACTGCTGGCTCTTCTCCGCATCACTGGCTGCCCTGCTGTTGATGAAAGGACTGCTCTCTTTGGGGATCCCATCATCTGAAACAAAGAAACACTGACCATCAGATTTACAGTCGAGTCTTCTTCACTCACAGCTGCAAGAAAACATTATGTTTATTATTTGTAGAAAATGAAATACTGAATAGTGCTGTAAAATCCTTACTGGAGCAAAGAATACTCAAATTAAATGGACCAATGCAGGATTTGATTTTCTGCTGCAAAAAGGTGTTTTAATAAAATTAAAATTAGCATATAAATCACTCAACTTTGACCCCAGAGATCAGGGTTGCTGTTGCATGTAAACACATCAACAACACTTAATATACTGTATTATGTCTCACTTCTAAGCACTTCTAAGTACTGTTCCATACAGTACCTAGAAGTACCTGGTGGCTGGCCAATAGAGGGCACTAGGGCCCTGGTGGTCGGAAAGAGTTTTGATTTTTCTTTTTAAATTAAAATTTTTTGAAATAAACAGTAATTACCTTTTTAAGTATATGTGTATTAAAATGCACAATAATGTGTAATATATAAAATATAGGCTAAATAATTATGTTTGGATGTGAAATTAGCTTCCTGCTCATTCGCTGATCTCTTCTGGTGAGCTGGAGAGAGCGCCCAGGCAGCACAGCAGCGCAGCCAATAACTGACCGTAACTTACACAAGATATGCCCATAGCAACAGAAATTAAGCCAATCAGCGTCCTCAAATATGATGCACAGTCAGTCGGTGGTAGAGGGACACGTGACGTTGTTGACAAGATGAATGCGGAACTCAAGCCCGACACAGGCTTTCAGCCTTGGCTAGCTGGATGCAAGATTTAAATACCTTATTTTGCTTCCCACACTTGCTTTTTAAAACAGCAGGGACGGTGACACGGACTGTTACAGGAGTAAAGGACACGATACATTTATCTTAGAGGATTAAGAAGCACGAGTGTACGAGGGCGCATATGGATAACACGATGCAGCTAGCCATGCTAGGCAGTGTTAACATCGGCCTTGCGTGGCCACAATGAGACCGCTCTTCTGACAACCCTGGTGTTTTCAGTAGATCTTGTTGCCTCGCTGGACAGCGTGTTGGAGGAGCACAAAGACAGCTGCTGTTTTCAAAGGCACCTCAAAAACTTTTGGACATGCTGTTAGTTCTTGAAGTTTACATTCTGGAGGAAGTAAAAAATGCAGAAATTCTTGCTATTCAGGCAGATGAGACAACCGACATTTCCACCCATTGCCAGTTGGTGTTTGTGCTACGGTACATCAATAAGGAGAACAACAGCTGTTGGCTACTGAGGTAAGCTGTATAGTTTATAGGCAGCTCTGAAGTGTTAAGATGTGGTTATTTCCAGTGGTTGACAGTAACTTAAGTATGCCTAACGTTACTGTACTGAAGTACAAATTAGAGATAGCCTATTTGTACTTAAGTATTTTCTTTTCATGCCTCTTTCTATGTTTATGTTCACTGTTTATGTTTTTGTATATTAATATAATACTATATTGGCAGTTTGTGTTAAATTGTATTGGGACGGTTACTGAAACTGAAATATATATGGCACAGCCCCACCTAAAATATTTTTCACCAGCTGCCACTGACTGTACACTATGTCTTACTGTTGCTCCATAATGTAATGTTATGTAAAAAATAAAGGCCGATATAGATAGAAGAAAGATAGAAGAGACAGAGAAGACACTATACAACAAAAGTTTTAAAAAACATCTACTGCAAGTATGGATATCCACATCACGTAGCATTTCCTGATATGTCTCTCGATAGGGATTCTTAAATTGGCTTTTAGACAGGAAAAGTAAACATCAAATTTAGCTAATTGTTTTCCCATTATCAATAGAGAACTGTTCACAACATTTTAAACAGATAAAGAGCATCTTCTGCTTGGTGAAAGTGACACAATCAAGTAGTCTCTTTCAATTCCCCAAGCGGCAGCAGTATTATACACTAATCTTTAAAGCAAAGAGGAGAGTCAAATACCAGCTAAACTGCTCTCACGCAGCACATAATCCTTTGAGCGATGGACTGCAGTCCTAAAGATGCATTTCCTGTCAAATTGGATTAGAAAGCAATTCAATTGTTTTTGTCTTTTTTTTTTGTTTGCGTGAAGGATTAGAGCTTTTATCAGCTTTCTATCAATACCTGAACACAACACATTCAAAACACCTAAACACTTTATGCCACTTTCCTCTGTACTTCACTGGTGATGTGAAAAGACCTTTACAGTTATTTCAAGACCAGTGCGAACTGTTTACATTTTTTTCACTGTGCGGCAGACAATAATAAAGAAGTTTATTAGCTGTTGTGATGAGGCTAGTCAAACTCAAAAGACTCACAGCAGGTCTTTTATTTCAACTCTTAGCTGTAGTTTAGATTATGTGGAGGCCAACCACTTGAATATTCTGTAATCCACCACAATTTTGAAAATCTGCATTTAAAGCCCATTTCAGCTCATGGCTTAGAGTGAAATCAGCTTTTAAAAATGTTTTTGTGTGTGCATGTGTGTCAGGACTTCCTCTGTGCATGTGTAAGTATTGTGTTGTGACATGTTTTGCATAGTATAACTTCATATACGTACATATTTCTGTCGTCTTGTTGTTGAGTGGGGCATGTGATTGACTGAAAGGTGAGGGGGCGGTAACTATAGACAACGTCAACAGACAAATTTGAATGATTTCTTTTGTTTTAAAATATCTTGGTAACCTTTATATATTTTACAAAATGTATTCATATGATTCATTATTTCATGATGTCTTCTTTCATTTATTAAATATTGGGAGTGTTATGTAATAAATATCCTTCATTACAGAAGAAGAAGAAGAACAGAAGGAGCTTTATTGCCAAGTAGTGTTTTACACATGCAAGGAATTTGCTTTGGTGATAAGGTGCTACACGTAGACAGCCATACAGTTGACATAAATAAATGTAGAAATACATAAATATGGAATAATCACAACTGAAACTTGAGTTAACGCACAAAAACAAAACAAAACAAAGTGCATCTAACACCAAGGCAGCTATACGCAGCGCCATCTTAGTTGTATTACATGGCAGAACATTCATTCAGTAATAAAAGCTGTACTGTATGTGCTATTAAATCTGCATATTTTTAGCATCAGGTGTCAACAATAATGATCTATTTACACAAAAGACACCTCACTTGTGTATTTCTATCCTCAGATTAGAAACCACATCCCCTACTCACCTTCACTGGAATCAGTGAGTGACCTTGGAATGTAACCAAACAACCAGAGGCCTCACTCGAATTGATCTCATTATCCATCACTGACAGACAGACAGACAAGGTTACAAAAACTATGCTTCTAAATTGTGTTGCATTAAGAAATGTGTCAGTAACTCTTTATACCAAGGGTCATGCAGCAACATGTAGATGTTTGCATCTGACCACCAGTTTGATAAAAACAGCTGCACATCTCTTTGAGAACAGGCACTGTTCTGCTTTCAGAGAGGCTGATCCAATGAATGCACAACGGCCAATGTTTGAAGTAACTGTGAGTTAATACTTATTAATTGATAATCCATTAAGTGTTAAGTAAGCAGATAAACTCAAAGTGACTTTCTTAGTGTGGTTCAAAGTGAGCAACAGTAATTGGAACTGACAAATCATACTTGAAGAACAGCTATGCTGCATAAATTCCTGCATTAATAATGCATATGTCCTGCATTACCCATGTTTTATACACTTATTATAAAGTGTTACTAACGTGTCAGTTATTTTAACATTTTCACCACACTGCTTGGAGCAAGTGTCTTTATAATATGACACTGCTTCAGGTGTTCATTTTTGCAAGCAGCATTGGCTAAAATGTCTCAACAACTATTGAATTGATTGCCATTAAATTAGTTTCAGCTGTACTTTGTGTTTTGTGCTAATTAGCAAACTTTATCATGCTAACACAATACACTGAGATGGCTTGTCAACCTTTTATCTGCTAAACATCCGTATGTAAGCATTGTTGTTATGAGCATGTTAGCTGTTAGAGCCATTAAGAAAACGTGGTTAATCTTTAGGATAATTTCGTATTCATAATTTATATTAATTTTCCTTTATGTGTTTCACTTGGTAATATTTTATGTTTGTCTCAGACAGATGTCATTAGTGTGTATTTAGCGAATTAACATGTGTAGGTGTGCTCCCTTAGTTTGTCCTGTTAACTCAGAGCTACTGAAGTGCTGTACAATGCAGCTAAGTGTAGTAAAAAAATGAGGTGAGAGCACCTATTGGCACGTGCTGTGGTAAAAAGGGTCAGCCAAGCAGGACATGGAGCAACAGTTTTCTGACTGTTGCGTCGTGTATAGCAATTTGGACATTTTGACTATGTGTAAGTATGTTTGATAGAACACATATTTAGGACTCTGCCTAGATATGTTGTTACGGTTGTCTTTTTCATCAAATAAAACTTCGAATATTTTTTCATCTTATCTGCCTCCTTGCCTCACTGGGTCATACAGTTTTGCTGTTTTTGGAAAGCACGAGTCAGAAACGTTTATGTCCTGCGATAGTGGCAAAAGAAGTTTTTAAAGTAGCCGCTACATTCTTCCTCATCCCCTCTGGGAGGACTCTGTACCATGGTGATATTTATATATTATCTCTATGCCTATTTTCATTACTCTGCACTTTACTGCTTTTTGCACTTCGGGCTAAACTGCATTTTTTTGTCTCAGTACTTGTTCAATGACAATAAAGTTGAATGTAATCTAATCTAATCTTTTTTATCTGTAGAACAAAAAACTGCTATACTTCATAATAATACCTTAAGATGTAGTGCCTCTCAGATCAAAGACATTCTTGTTATTTGCTGTCTCACAGGTAAGACACTGTCTAGTGTCACTTTTTTCCAATTAAACCTGCTCTTTACCCCCTCTCTTCACAAATCCTTCTATACTTCTGCCAAGAGGGGAAAGATCTGCTCTCCCTGCAAGTGTTCAGCTGCATGAAACATACTATGAACCAAACCGAGCACAGTCACATGCACTGTGAAGGAATTTTTGCATCAATTTTAAGAGTTAACTCCTGCTTTTATTCCACATTTATTTTTTCATTGATCGCAGTGCTCTCTTTTTCAGGAATGTCCTGATAGCATTCAGTTACACATTCACACCTGGAAACTGTCCAGTACAACCACAGTCTGACCTGCTGAGCAGCTGGGTTTAAAGGTTCAGTGTGTAATATTTAGGAGGATCTGTTGATAGAAATGCAATATAATATACACAACTATGTTTTCAGTGGTTTATAATAATATATAAAGACCTTACTGTTATGTTTTTATTACCTAAGAATGAGCCATTTCTATCTACATACGCCGCGGGTCCTCAGGAGGAGCATGTGAATGCACCGTGAACCGCTGGTTGCAATTCACAACCCTCACTACTAGATGCCTCTAAAACTTACACACTGAACCTTTAGGGCCTTGCTTAAGGGAGAGCTGTTTTTCATTTTCTCTACCCAGATTTATCCTTCCAGGGACTGAATAGACAACCTTCTGAGCACAAGCTGGCTTCTGTAGCATTTAGGTCACCAAAGCCCTTAATGGCACTGCGGTATGTTGTCTTGTTGATCTCATCTGTCGGGGGAAGGTCACATCACAACAATCTATTTTAAAGGTGGTGAAATAAAGTTTATGCACCCAAGTATTAGACTAGCTCTAACATTCAGTTAATTTAAAAGTAAATGTAAGACATATTTATATTTACAAAGATTTCTTTTCTACTATATTCTCTGTAGCACTTTGATGCAACACAAGAGGGATGCTGAACATGATAAAAATTTATGGACTGTAGAAAAAAAATTATTATGAGAGAGAAGTGAGTCAGCTAGTCTGGTAGATCTATCTGGGGGCTGTAATGCTGGGAGAAGAAAACATGACTGTGATACAACCAGAAGCCTCAGTTTGAGCTTATAAAGAGCTGTAGCTTGGAAATGTCTGAAAGGTTATCAACAAAGTAACCCCATAAAGCAATGTAGCTGTCTGTCTGTCAGTTTGTGCCACTACCTGTAGTCTAGGTGAGCCCTGTGAAATGCACTGATGAAATGCAAGCACAGACATCTTTTTCCCTTTGATTACACAGCACACAAGAATCATTGGCTGGGAAATGAACTTATTCAGATGTTAAAGCTCCTGATTTCTGAGAACATCCAGAAACATTGCCACAGCAATGAACACTTAAGAATCAAATTTCTAATATTACCTAGAAGAAGAACAGTTGAAGAAGCTTATCAAAGCGCCAGGGAACAGACACAGCGAGTATTTGAGGTGAGAGGTTAAAGTGGGGCTGATGTGAATACGTGAAGCAATAACACGCAAAGGGCAGTCTTTAATGTGCAGGTCAGATCAGGAAGAGCCCACCTGACCCACATTCATCAAGTCCACCATGTCCACAGTAAATTACTGCCCCAGAAAGAGCTCTTTTTTCCCCTTTTTCTAAAGAACAAAATGTAATTGTTTTTCAGCCCTTATCTCAGAGTAAACAGTGATCACTGGGTTTATTGACCTCTCTATATATTAATATTAAATTAAGTCTTAATGAAATGACACAGTTTAGACTAAGTAAATATGTTATATATATGAATTTGACTTACAGATTAAAAATCGGTATCTTGTGTCAAGCCTGTGTTACACTAGTGTTTACAAAGATGTCTGATGCGAACAAGCATTTTAAAAGCTTATAAATTTGAGAGTAAAAGCAGGCTTCAATCTTCAGTCTGTTTTTTACATAAAGATGATGGGTACTAGTAAAACAAAGACTTAAAACAAAATGTTCTCTAAAATGCAAAATTACACATGCTAATGTGACAGGGCTTTTATTCGATTGTTTTTTTAAGGGGAACCAATTTTACACATCAACGTAAGTTTTCGTGTTGCATAGTCGCTGACAAAGAAGAAGAATGTGTGGAAAGATGATATCTCTGGTTCTCCTTTTTAAACTGTCCATCTTGATATAGGAGTTTAATGTTAAATGTTCTCTCAAAGTAGCACAGTACCATAAATGTACAGCTAGACGACAGGACCTCCGAGGTTGTCTATGCTATTTTACGCAGACCTGGTTTTGTGGAGAACATGTTGGTCAAAGACAGTTGAGGAGTCTGAGAACTTTTTCCATGATGTTAAACTAAATGACATTGACCATAGTTTCAAAGCCATAAGCCGGGATCCTTAAATGTACCCCACATTCATGCATTTTACGAGAAACAGAACATGAACGTCAATGTAAGCACTGAAAACGTATAAGATTATAATTTATTTTTATTGTGGTGAAAACAACAATTTGGCGGTGATTGTTGAAAACCAGGATTTTTGTGTTTTCCCAGACAATCCCAGACAAAGCGGGTTGTCACTGTATACTAAACATTCAGCATCATGCACCGTGGAGTCACAGATGTTTACTGCTCTAAGATGTCAAACTGAGGAAAATTAGCAAGAAGAAATAAGCCTCCTCCTCAGAGGTGTCATGCTCATGGTGCTCATGTAGCACATTCATTACTTGAGGGGATGCAGCACAAAAGTTATTAAACTATGGATTTCGAATGATAAATGATCTGTCATTGCAAACTGTTAACGCTTCGTGTGAATGCGGCTTACAGAGGTCACTATCAGACGCTCGGCTCTGCTTCTATATTAATTTACGACATTTCTGGAGTGGGAGGTTACGGTTACAGATTTTGGTGTGGAAAATGAATCTGTGTGACGAGTTAGTAATCTGTCTGAAACCCACACATACAAGCAAAACAGCTATATTACAGATATTACAGAATAAATAATTTGTTCCTAAATGTACAGATCAGTTTGTGACAAACAAATGTTCAGTGGCTTTAAATGATTTGTTTACCACTAGTGGATAATCCGTCTAACTACATTATTGCTTTAGCCTTGGGACAGACAGCCAAGATTTATTGATAATAAGTGATCAGCTCAGAAAGCTGTTTATAATGATGCTGCTGCAGGAGGCAGAGCTGTGACTGCTACTTGACAGCAGCATGCAGATGAAAGGCAGTGGGCGGTGTAGATTTGTACCCTTGATGTGACATGGCTATTACAAAATGGACAGTTTATACCAGCTTTTAAAAGCTTAATAGGACGTAGGCTCAAGGGGATTATGCAGCAGCTGCTGTAGGCCACAGAGTAAGACAGAAATTAACTTTAGCACGTGAGCGAACTGCACCAATCAGCTGCATAGCAACCTCACAGTTACATCAACCACACACGTACCTCATTCATTTTCACCTCCCCTGCTGTAACTGCGAAATTAAAGCTAATTCCATAAAGTAATTTGTTTAATTTAAATCCATCCCCTCACTGACATTCTCTTTCACTGTGCCTGTTGCCTGGCTGTGTTTCTGGCTGTCTGTCAGATTTTAGTCAGCAGAGGTGACACTGTGTGATTCTTTCTGCTAACAACGGAAAAACCGAGCAGTAACTCAAGCAGTATATTGAGTTAAGCAATTGTGTTTTCTGCAGCAGGAGAGCATTACATGGTGAATTATGTTGTGGCTTGGATGTCTGTATAGCCAGATACTGTATATCCACTGTTTATACACACACAAACACACACACACACACACACAAACACACAAACACACAAACACACACACAAACACACACACACACACACACACCCCTGTTGTATAGGACATTATGGGCAATTTGACTACTATTAGTATTAAGTACTATCGAGGTAACTTGTCATAAAGAAATGCGGTTAGAACAGCGCCATACTACACAAATGGTGAAGGGCATAAAGTTTGATCGTGCATTTGATCATCTTAAAAAACTAATACAGCTTTAGAATACAAAAGAAAAAGGAGTCCTGCTCCCATTATGGTTTATTCCAGCTGTGTGTCACGCCTCTTTTAAATGTCATGGGTGCCGAAAAGACTTCTGCAAAGGATGCACTGGTGCATCTGAAAAAGTGGCCCACATTTGACATTGCATGTGTGGCCCTAATATGATAAAACAGACGTGGACCACTTTAGGTAAAGGTCTGCCAGTTCTGGTTTATTTGATTTGATCTTTGTTGAAATACAGCATGGTAACGACTCGCTTGTGGCCCAGATCTGGCAAACAGGAGTGGACCACCCAATTGCCATCATTCCATGCAGTATGTGGTCCGGGTAAAAGTGTCAGGTGTGGGCCAGATCCGGGCCACAGCAATTTTGCTATCTGGGCTGTTTCTTGTTTTTGTAGGTTTTATTTCCCCAAATTAAGGTCTAAATGCTGTTTCAAAGTCTTCACACAGCCAGGAAGAAATTTCTGGTGGGCAATACCATGGTGCTTTAAACTAAATGCTAACATCAGCATGATAAAATGTTAACAATGACAATGCTACCGTGTTGCTGTTTGGCAGGTGTAGCCTAATGTTTAACCTATGTGTTTACAATGGTAACCATCTTTGTTTAGCCTGTTAGCATGCTAATATTTGCTAAA